GTCGGGACACCGCGTATTGCTCACGTATAGACGAGACAGTGTGAGTCAAGCGTTTTCTTCGTGTGTTTCACACGTATTTTAGGACGGCATTTCTGTCCAGACGTCTTATAATGCTATTTCTCTCGTTCTTACGTTTGCGATAGAGGATGGAAGATCGCCGCGACTCCCACCACTATTCCCTCTCCAAGCGTCCGACGATCGTATACCGCTAGCTCCCTCCGCCACTCCGTGCTGCTCTTAGCTCACCTACACGCAGCAGTGTATGAGTGACGCGTTATCGTGTGCGAGTCACACGGATATTCGGACGGCATTAACGCCGGTGCGTGTACAATACATACGATAGCAGACATTGCCACTATAGTTGATTTACTATATCTCGTGTGATCATTTAAAAATTTTCCTATATATACAGGGTGTATAAAAAGTACAGGGTCGACGAAGTATCTCGAAAACTGAGCATTTTAAGTAAAAGTGTTTCAGATAAATGTTATAAGATTTTAAAAGACCTATTTATTGATATTATTAGTACTTGACCTTGGGTGGGGTCGTCAAGGTTACCTTGAATTTTTAAATGAAACCCCCTACTTTTTATTACATTGTTTTGTAGCTTATCTTGAGAATGTTCCAAAATACTATAATAACCTATTTTTTCATTAAGTTTCGATTTTTTTTAATAATAAAGCTTGAAAATTACAGTATCACCAGCATTAATATTACCCAAAGTGTACTACGCAGAGGTTACTCGTTAGGATTTACACCTCTTTCGTGTGTGTGCGTGTGTATGCGTGCGTGTGTATGTGTGTATGTGTGCGTGTGGGCATGAGTAGTTTGTGTTAGAGTGCTATTACATGAAGCGCGGAAACGCAGAAACACGGAAACGCGGAAGACAAAATCTTACTAGACCCGCTACGCGTTCCGCGTGGGTGTATATCAGTTGGACACGGGGCAATTGGACACAGTCCAATCACAAGTCGCTGTTCCAAGGGACTCTACAAATGTCTCTAATCATACGGTGCTGTGATTGGCTGTGTCCAAATGCACCGTGTCCAAGTGCACCGCTCCCGTTCCGCGTCTGTTGATTGCCTTATATTGCATGAGGCATATTTTGAGCGGAAAAGTGGTATGGGGAATTATAAAATATTAATTTTTAACGGTATTTATTAATTAAAATGCTTGTATTTAACAGATAAACTGAAAAGATAAACATATTAGTAAAAATTGCAGCAAATTATGCAAATGAATACAATTTTAAAAAATGAATACAGATGTTTATTTGTTACCAAACTGTTTCGCTTTTCCGCGCAAATGTGCTCCATGTAATATAAGGAGAAATAAAGTCGCGGAACAAGCGCGGAAAAATCTATTGTCACAAGTTATCACAAGTTGTTCAACCTAACCGCCGTTACATTAAGACGTGTTCAAACACGTTCAGACCCGATATTTTTTGGAATTCATATCTTGGTACCTTGGATGAAAAGACAATAGAAAAAAGTTTTAGGCCTTCCGCTTTTCCGCTTTTTCAACGTACGGGAAGAAATGATTCAATTCGCGGAACGCGGAGATCTAGTAACATTTTGTCTTCCGCGTTTCCGCGTTTCGGCGCTTCATGTAGGCTGCGTTCCGAAATGCACTGCCAGTACTGAAAATCTATAGTTCATGTTACGTATATTATAGAATTTCAGTACTGGCAGTGAATTTCGGAACGCAGCCATAATGGCACCCTTAACGGCAATACTGTAACTTTCAAGTTTCATTATTCAAAAAGTCTACTTTTTCGGGATGAGTAATTACTTTTTATGCCATAACTGTTCCTTGTTTTTATATTAAAAACTATTTTTCCGATTCTCATGGAGTTGCAATAATGGGGTTTTTGAGATCGCTGAATTTGAATATAACCTCATAATTTTGATAGTTGATAGTAAAATGGTTGATTTAATATGGCAGACAAAATTGACTTTTTTGGGATGTAGCTTTCTAATAGGAATAAAAAATCAAGACTTTTGAATATCTTCTGGTTTTCAAAAGTTTTTAGGGTCGCTGAATTTGAATCTGACTTTAAAAGTTACAAATTCAAAATGACGGATCCAATATGGCGAATTAATCTATGTAGAAATTTCCTGGTTTGAATATTGAACGCGCCATCTTGGATTACAGAATTTAAAAATTCTAAGGTCAGATTCGGATTCAGTAACCCAAATTTCAGCGACCTTTAAACCCTAGCTTTCCTTTAATTTACCTTTTCAGCAACCCTCCGTCTTCAAAGGGTTAATGACAAAATATGTTATTATAATGTTTTGGAAAACTTTCGAGATTAGCTACATGAATATGCAATAAAAAATAGGGAATTCTAATCAAAGATTCAAGATGACCTTGTCCTGACATTGACGACGCTATCCAAGGTCAAACTGATTAGATTAGTAAATAGATCTTTTGAAACTCTATAACTTTTATCTGAAATACTTTTTCTTAAAATGTTTACTTTTCGAGATATTTCGCCGCCCTGGTACTTTTTATACATCTTGTATATTAACAACGATAACCGTCAAAGACAACAGCGACATGGCTGCATATATTAAGTGGTTCTTATCACAATTCTAAACGGAATTGCATAAGCCAATTATTTTTTATTTATCATAACAGTTTAAGATAATGATAAACAATGAATCTTTATTGTGATTTTCAGATATTATCTGAAAAGAAACTTATTATTCGTAGGTCTCGGTGCGTCTTGTGAAACTGTGTTAGATGCCGAAATGTTTGTGGAAATGCCGGCTATGATATTATTGATGAATCCTAGACTCGAGCACGAGATGCAATTGAATGAGACATCAGACTCAGCAATAATGCAGTTTCTTATGCCAGACGTTGATCTCATAGAATTGAGTCTCTTGCTGAGTTCATCTTGTGGTGAGGACTGCAACATTACTGTCCATGTTACGGCGGAGGATAATCTCGTCAATGTTTTGCTGAATTCTACACAGACCTTGCTGTTTTTCAAACCTTATTTCCACAGTTTCCACTACATAACTCTTCGTCTACTTTCGGGGAATGCCTCAAATGTAACAGTGAGATTGATAAACCAAGTGGTCTCTGATCAGGTGACGACGGTGGAATTGATAAGAAAATCCTTCCCAGAATTTTTCCTTTTTGACTATGAACACTTAGGCGATAATGACACGAAGCCTCAGCCTTTCAACGTAACCGTCGACACTCTGTCCGTCTTTAGCTTTAAAATTGGTCAGGTGTACGACGTTGGTGGCACAGTCACCTTAGGGTTTAAGCTAGTCGATATAGATGAGAGATATAAGAAGAACATCGTCCTTGTCGCCTGTATTTCCTTCGGTTAGTTTATATCTTTTGATAGTATACGATTAGCTCTTCTTTTTTAGAAAAAGATTTTGCAGAAGAATATTTTTTATCAATTTTTTCATATTTTTTTTCTATCGTGCGCAACTCTTTTATCTCATTCACACACATTGATTAGATTTATTACTAACTGAATTCAAAATTTTTCTATAAGATTAATTTATAACTTTTATACTCGCGCCTTCATATACTCGTGCATTCTCGTTCTTATTCTCACTAAATTTTCAAAACATAGGTCGCTATTCAAATATAACATCGGGTGGTGCTTGCGAACGTGTACATAACGTCACAACAGCCGATGTATACGCAAACGCAACCGGACCAGCATACGTACACGTACCTTTCCCGGAAGCGGGAACTTGGTACGTGAGCATGCGTGCCTTCTGCTCGGAAGAAACGATCGGCAATAACAATATTTGTACCTGCAGCCAGAGTTGCTTTCGTGGTGATGTAGTGTGCAATACGTGCGACTGTCTATCACGCTGTCCTGTCAGAGTGGAAAGCATTGTGGCGTCGTCACCATGCATAGAGGGTCGTTGCAATGATCGTGGGAAATGTATGCATTACATAAGCGGTGGCTTCGTGTTTTCAGCTTGTCATTGTACTGGAGGTTACCGCGGTTTCGACTGCGCTGATGACGCCTACGTCCTCACTCGTGGTGGTATACTCCTCCAATTGTTGATTTTGACCTTCAGCAACTTTGCATTTGTCGGATCAATATACGTGGCAGTCCGTCGTGAGTACTTCACCGAGGCGCTGTCCTATGCTGCAGTCATGTTCTTCTCTACATTTTATCATGCCTGCGAAGCTGGTGAGGATGTTTACGGTGTATGCATTATGCGACCTAGCGTGCTACAGTTTTGCGACTTCTTCAACGCACTGCTCGCCATCTGGGTAACCCTAGTAGCAATGGCGTCGCTTAGACCGCAGCTCACTGCCTTCTGCCAAGTAGCCGGCGCAATTGTGCTTGCTATGGGCGCTGAAATGGATCGTACGGCGCTGTGGGTGTTCCTTCTGCCAGCAGTTACCGGCTCCGCTATGATTGGATTGTTCTGGGGATATAGATGCAGGAGAAAGCAAACTATTAGATATCCCTCGCGTCCATACAGGTAAGAAAAACTGACGGGTGAGAGAAAAAGGAGTGTGTGTGTGTGTGTGTGTGTGTGTGTGTGTGTGTGTGTGTGTGTGTGTGTGTGTG